GAACCAGGTTATGGCGTGGCCATCCATTACTCCGTGGTAAGTTTCCCATATTTCAAAATTGATATTTGATATATTTTTAGTTGAATATATATATATGTCGTAAAAAAAAAGATGTATTTTAGGTACGTTACCAATTCATTCATGCAGTCGTGGATTGAAGTGAAATGATAACTTTTTTATATCCAAAATTGTATTTTTTTAATGATTATCTTTTAAGAACAAAACAGTTTGCATACATACAATTTAATAAAAATAATCTAAGTATATACAAAAAAAAACATCTTGGGTTGTACTCCTTTTGTTAAGGATTTTAAAAAATTAACTCTGTGTTAATTCTATGATTATTTAAAATATAATTATATTAATGAATAATAAAAATTTTATTTTTATTATGTCATATATATATATATATATTATGTAAATATATGGTTTTCCGCTGTTGATTTTTCAATTATAGTTATATAGAATTATTATTATTTGTTGCTTGATTTTGGTATCCATGAGTATATCACGATATTGTTCTGCAATAATAATAATAGTCTTGATCAGAGATTGCTTTAATTGAGCTAAAGGAATATACAAAAAAAAACATAATTTAATGAAAGTAATGCCTGGCGTAAAAATCTAAAAAAATGAAAAACTTATTTACATAATGTACAAAAGATTTGAGCCGGCCATCGGGAAACAACAACATTTTCTTTTACTTATCCATAGTACACGTGGTACAGACCATGATAATCATAGTGGGTAGAGGTTGACGACTGCTTTTACTGTAAGTGCACCACCTGTCTAAACATGTGAAAAGCAGTTAGACTTTGCAATTATATGGGAAGCGTGACCTCTGGCGGTCGATTTAAAATGAAATATAATTTTAAATAAAATAATATTTTTATATAACATATATATATATAATACAAAAACAATCTTTATTTCGACTTTAAAATCACATTAATTTGTTAGTGGGGGAGGAGGTACATCAAAATCTTTATCGATAAAAAATTTGTAAATATCGTACTTGGATTTGTTCAGGAGACGTTGTGATTCAGGTATATCACGTTCCAAGATGAAGTTTTCTGGGCAAACTTGTAATATATATATATTAAAAGTAGTAATATAATATAAATGAAAACACCAAAACGCGAATGCTTCTTTTCACAAATAAATCAAACTTATAATATATTTTTCATCGCAGTAAGGGCAGTAGAAGTTTGATTTATTTGTAAAAAGAAACATTCGCGTTTGTTGTTTTCATTCGTATTACATTGTTTGATGTGCATTTATAAATGGCAGATGCTCACATTTAAAACACTTTATCCTAAAGTCCGATATTTTAGTAAGCCCGTTGAAGAGCGATTAACGCTTGAAAGCTAGCGTTTTTTCAATAAAAAGATACTCATTGTGAGAAAATATTTGTAATTTTAAAACTTTTTTTTCACAATTTTATCATGAATACAGAAGATATGTGTGTAAAATATTTTAATAGCAAAAATAATATTTTATTTTCAGTTTGAAGATGAAAAGTGGTTGATTAAACAGGATGAATACCATCTTCTTCCCGCACCCTACAGAACTGACTGCTATGATTACCTGGGGAACTGGAGGAAGACTGGAGATCCACTTTCCAGAGAGGTAAACAACATCGACCCTTTCTCCTACTTATCTCTTTCTCTATTTCTATGAACAATGTAATTATAATTTTTCCATATTAATGCAATATATATTAAAAACAAAGTAGGCATATCCTGACCAGGAGCACATGTGCTTTTTAGATGGCATAGCGCCATCTAGTAGAACAGAAATCAACTAAACATTGATTTAGCCTGTTCCCTGATATTTGACCAACCCATTTTCTTGATAAATCAAGAAAATCCATCCACGAACGCGCTTCGCGCTGTTAGCACTCGTCAGCGTGGAGCAGGCTGTACCACTGCCACCATTTTTTTTTTATTTTAAAGTTCATGTGCTCCTGGTCAGGATATGCCTAATTTGTTTTTAATATCAACACTTGACCTTTATTATTATTATTTAAAAATTACCATCATATGTTTATCTTATTTACGCAAGTTTGGCCTTAAACACCCATTTCATGATTTCTCAAGAAGCCTCTGGGACTAAAAGAGTTTTGGTCGTAGAGGTACAGCCACACGCTGACGAGAGCCAACAGCCCGAAACACGTTCGTAGTTGAATCTTCTTGATTTATAAAGAAAATGAGTTGGCCAAATATTAGGGAATATGCTAAATCAATGTTTAGTTGATTTCTGTTCCACTAGATGGCGTTCTGTCACAGACACTTCTCATCCAGTATTCCGGAATCAGGATTTCTTACATGGTATTATCAGCCGAGACAGCTGAGCCAATGTTTTTAGTGGGATTGTTACTGCTTCCCTCTTTTATTTTCATCCGGGATTGGAACTAGAAAAGGGACGTAAATATTATCTTATATTTATTGTGAGACAGATCTAATTTTGATTATCCAAGTGTTTATGGGGATACATCAGGATGTATCATGCCAAGTTTCCCCATCGTTAGATGTCCCAGAATGTCATCTCTGGTCAGATGGTGACAGGCTGGTGTATGTACCAGTCTTCCATTACATTATTTATCTTAGATATACTAAGAAAGATATTGAATCTACTTTTAAGAGTTATCGTCCATATAATATTATATAGTGATAAATAATAATAACAATATATATATATATGTCGTGATCAAATGAAAGGTGCAACCGTTATGCTTACAATCCCCAAGAATTAGTTCCAGCCAAGTGAGCAGCGCACCCGCGACGTGCCGTAGCATTCGCCCGCGATATCTGCCACGTTTATTTTTGTACAGTTTTTATAGATGGATGAATTTACATATTTAAATTTTAACACAAGCTTAACATATTTACAGTTTAACATACTTATTTTGGCGAAAAGAAATCATGCATCTTGGATATTATGCAAATTATGACATATATGTATATGTTGTAATATATTCCAATATATACCTATATCCCCATGTGTTGTATGTGTTGTATGGTTATAATGTAATTGACAAGGTGACAGAAATAAAATTTCGAGTAAGTGACAGCCGGCGCCAGTGGAGGAAAAAGGTCCGAAAAACAAGTCGGGTTCCCAGGTGTGCCCCCTTCTTGCTCAAACAGATTGGTCCGCTTGGGGTAACGATGATTGACAGACCCCTCTCAACAGATTGCTCTGACCGGTGTCGGCTTCACTTGCTCTCTCGCCATCTCTATGGTGACATCCAACATGCCTCCTCTTTTTGGCAATTCCACGCCTGAAGCCACTCTAAACATTGTGGCCACCACGACTGCAACCAGCATGCCACACTACAGTCATCCTACAGAATAAACTATATATTTATATACAAATATAAAAAAATAAGAATTAATATACATATATACAATATATACATGGCTTGATTGGTTGAGCCAATCGCGGGAAAGACTTTGCCACCTGTGGACCGCGAGAAAGAATGAATGTATTCACATGTCATCAATTTACTTTGAACAGCATAACGCTATCAATGTTCAGCTTAGAATTATTTTGACATTTGGAAAGGGTCAAAGTTTGAAAGCCAGTTAAGTATGACGTCATCCCAGTCGTTTCAGGATGGCACCAGTATGCAACCGGACCGCAGGGGAGGGGAGGATGACCCACATAAGTCACTGATCAATGAGAATCAATCCCCGGGGATCACGGCAGGACAAAAAGGGACGATTTGCCGGCGGTCGAGAGTTACAGTTCATATTTCTGACAGGCCCGCTCAGTAATAGGTCCGTTGTCATCTCACGGCGGCCCTCGTGGCCGCCGTTTTCCCTGGCCCCCTTTCTCCGCGACTTCAGCAGTTAAAAACATTCTGTGTGTCTAGTCTTGCATTCAAGCTTGTACCCTCAATATCACTTTGGCAAGCTGCAACTGTGCTCCTGTAAATGTTCTTTATTTTACTCCAGCCGAGCTATGTACCAAAGGTAAGTACCTTTTAGAAAATTTACACAGCTATACATAAATTCCATTGCTATAATTTTTAAATGTATAATGTATCTTATTCGCCGAATGTCGTGGTCTATTTGGATGAGGAAGGCGAAGACTAGAACGCGGCTGATTCCATACTCGCCTTTTCAGTGATACGCTAACTTTGACGTATGCATGGTGGGATCGTGGCCACTGGACATGCGTCGGAACTGAAGGCTGTTGTTGGGTTTTGTGCTGCCTGGAGTATAAGAGATCCATCTATGCTTTCTTCCTACGGTGAATCTGTATAAGACCAGTGGTCTTAATAAAGCTGTATGTGTGTGTATTAATGTATTGTCGTGTCGCTCTGGGCCACGAAACCACTCCTACACTTGAAACGGATGTTATTTATTTGTCAAGCTAAAAGCTACAAAATCAAAAGGAGTTTAAGGCAACTAATTCCTCAGGCTGGACTGGACTCCTTAACTTTATTCTTACGTCCTATTTATAGCACAAATAAGTTAAATTAAAACTATGTAAATTGTACACAAAGAACAAATATGCAAAGACACAACAGTATTGATATCTTAAACCTTTATTCGATGAATTTATTTTGTAAAATATTTTTCAAAGTATACTCTCTAACATTTGTATATTAAAACCTTTAAGATGCATTTTTTAATGAGTTGAAAGAATTCCTAAAATTATTGACTCGATTATTAATGTGGAAAAATATCTTGTTTTCGGGAATAAATTCCTTTTTAAAAAATAAATGTAATGTCTCTCTCTTTCCAGCTTTCGGATCTTAAAGATTGGAGGCAAAATATATCAACATTTAAAAGAAAAAACTTAAATCTGGAAGCCTGATGTTTACAACTTAATTTATATTGAAAAAAGTTGATTTAAGTAGTTGTGGAGTGGATTCATTAAAATATACACCGAGAGGAATGAAATATCTTTATTTACGGGGCTGCTAACCAAAATACGAGATGTAGATGATTCTTGAGCCCCAAAAAAAGACGAGCCTGCCAGGATGCTAAAAAAGATACGACAGCCTGGAATCGAACCCGGGTCAAATGCTTGGAAGACACCTAATGCTAACCATTATACCATCGTCTCTTAATAAAAGTGTCCAATGATGGGAATCGAACCTACAGTGTTCCGCTTACCGGGCAGATGTCATGTCCACTAGGCTACCATGGACATAAACCGAGAGTAACCTCCATCGAGAGAAGTTATGAAATCGGTCGAATTTATCAAACAAATGTTTAAACTGGTGAAATGGCCAATTTTCAGACTTAGAATGCAACATAAAGTAGCGGGAGGATGATATTTAGGTACCAAAAAAGACACTTCTTCCTTCCATTATACATTAGAAAAATGCATTTATCACACTAGTGAAAAAAACTCTTTTAGTAATTTTGAGGTATAAGCCACAGCATCATTTTGGTATATAGGTTGGCTTTTGTCTGAATTTCTATAGTTCATATTTATATTACAATTCCCATCCCTGGACACTTTTAATATTCCGTTCATCATTACTCTTCATAATTCATCCTTTCATACTTCATCCCTAAGGATAGAAATAGTCTTTATTTCTTCTTAAATTAAGATTTTCGTTCAAAATAAACACTTGCGATAAAACTTGTCAAACATAGTTTTACAATAGTTAAATATTATATGCTAATTTATATAGTTCATATTATATTCTTTTTTTTTTCTAGACTTATGAAATTTGATTTGAAATATTTATTAACAGAGGTTCAAATACTATATGATACAAATGTATTCATTATGTTGGGGATATTTGGGTCATATAGTAGTTGGTATTCTTTCAATAAATGTTTGAAAATCAAATTTCATAAATCTCTGGAAGTATCTATATAAATTAGCATATAATATGAAAAATAAAATATCCCTAATCTATATTAATAAAATGGAAATTTCATAAGTGGTGTTCGCTGAAAACTTTCGTTACAATGCATCAATTTCAACCAAATTTTCAACATTTATGTAAAACGAGATGGAGCAGGTTTTGCTTAACATCAAAATATTTTTCCTAACTTTAACATGCGTAACTTCGCTGTTATCGATTAAATACAAAAAAATCAACAGAGTTAATTTTATTTATATATAAATACAAAAAAAATTCAGCAATTCATTCAACTCAATCTAAAAAAATATTCAAAACAAGCAATTTTAAGATAACACCATATGTAAAACAGTCGGCCAAGAAAACAACAACGATATTACATCTTTCTCACATATTCACACACAATCTTGATTAATAATTAAAACTAATCTTTAACATTGTTTATTATACTTCATAATATATAATATTCGTTAGGCAAACTTTCACTCGGATAAAACCCGGGCGAAGCCGGGTACACATCCGCTAGTTATACAATATAATGCGGCTATGATTATAAAACGACGTTTAACAAGTTTTAGCGCAAATGTTTCTTTTTACAGAACGAAAAATCGTAATTTTAATTATTTTAAGGAGAAATAACGACTATTCCTATCCTTAGGGATGAAGTATGAAAGGATGAATTGTAAAGAGTAATGATGAACGGAAAAATAAAAGTGTCCAGAGATGGGAATCGAACCCACAGTGATCCGCTTAATGGACAGATGCCTTGTTGCCATTTTTCGTTCTGTAAAAAGAAACTTTTGGGATTAAACTTGTTAAACGTCGTTCTAAAATATCTCTGAGTTGTTTTTTCAAATTATGCCAAAATATTTTCGACCTAAATTTAATAATACACTGTTCATATTGCAAATTTTGGGAACTTTGAAAGCTTTTTAAAATTAATTCAAGTAGTGAATTCTCGAGATGTTATTGTGGTTTTGATGGCAAAAGTTCAAGACATCTGTTGCAGGACTGTTCCCTATTGAAGACTACAAATTTCTAAATGAAATAATAAAAGCTGACCTTAGTAGACTTGTATCCCAACAAATAATCCTATATCAAATTAAATATTTGGTAAATACAATCTAAAATTCCTAAAAAAAAAACACCTAATATTTCTCTGTCATTATTCTATCAGATATATATGTGTTATCAGAAGCTACTGTATTCAATATTAGATATAATTTAACATGTGTGTGTGGAAATTTATATTTTCAAGAAATATCTCCCTGTCTAGACCAGCTTGATATGGAAGTTTGTCAATCCAAATGCAAAATGTCATGTATGTAAGTATATATTTCATTTTTCTAATAAAATTATTCTCTGAATACTTTTTTAACAGCCAAGTGGTCATCAAATTCAAAGTGTTATCTCGCTTTTTAGAGAGCTTGGTGAGTTCCTTTTTATAGACGCTTGAATACCTAAATTTATAATTCCAATTGCCATCTATCTATAAAATTTGTAACAATTAAATTTACTGGAAATATGTTTCTTTTCAACAATAGCATAAAATAGAGATAATATAAATAAATAGTAGAGAGATATATGTTTTGTGCTTGTTATTAAAGTTTAAAACAAATTTAAACGTTATATATTTTATTCAATTAAGATCAAAATTACATAAACATCACATTTAATTATATATCATCACAAACAATTATATATCATAACTACATAACATTAAGCCAACTATTTTTTGTTTTGTTTCCGTCACTGGTCCAATATTTTTATTTTTCCCAGACTAAATTATGAGATTAATTTATAAATGAAAAATATTCAAAACAAATAAACAACTATATACATCAATATATTTTTATAGACGCTTGAATACCTAAATTTATAAATTCAATTGCCATCTATCGATAAAATTTGAAACAATGATATTTACAGGCAATATGTTTTTTTCAACAATGGCATCAAATAGAGATAAATAGTAGAGATATCTATTTGTTGTCATTGTTTAAAGGAAACATATTGCCAGTAAATTTAATTGTTACAAATTGAATACATAAGTTGAAATTAAATTAGCTCAGACTAAATCAAACTATTTTATAATGCTAAATATTATTTTATAATCTATATATTTTCAGAGTTTATATCTTTATTTACAATTTAGAGATCTATTATAATAACAACATTTTAAAAATGAATGTTTACAATTGAATAACAATATTTATATGAAAAATAGTAAAAAAGTGAAATTGTACTGGGATCAGGACAATAAATTATAAGAAAAAGACATTTTCATTTCCAAATCTCACGGATTTTATTGAAACAAATATACTAAAAATAAATATTGGATACAAAAAATCAGATTCAACTAAAAGAAAAATTATATCTAATTTTATAAACCAGAAATTTGAGGAATACTATGGGGGTGCCAATGATAATTTCAAGGGATTCTTTGAAACTTCAAGAATTCCTAACTATGTTCAACCCAACTTCTATAACGTTCAATTTTTTACTGGACATGGTGACTTCAACACATATTTGTTTAGAATTGGCAAAATTGATTCACCTGCATGCACTTGTTGAAACGAAAAACAAACCCCTGAACACCTTCTGATAAACTGTCCATTAACTTCTGATCTAAGGGAAGAAAACCAACTTTACCTGACTAATACAAAACAAGTTGCTTGCAATAAAGACCAATACATTAAGTTTAATAGATTCTTCAGGATGTATATTTCAAGGCCAAAGTGTTGACTGTACATATTTCAAGCTACTATTTCTAATTGCTATAGGCAAAATTTGACATCGAACGTTTAATTTTCATGATTCCTAATGTTCAATTGTGTTAATTGTATATAATTTCAGATATACACGCAATTATCCTAATTGTGGATATGGCGTGTCTCTCCCAACTGTTAAATAAATAAATAATCGTGTAACGAAAAGTTACGGATGGTTCTCGTTATCTTGTTGGATAAATATCAAAATATCGTTGATAATTTTAATTATACACCATAATTGGGACTGAATACCCTTTCTTATGATAACGCGTATTGCTACGTAGTAATATAAGGGATAGTAAAGAAAAGGCTATGTATTATGATTACGGAGGGTGTTTCCTTTCAAATGAAACGATTTCAAACGTCCGTTAGAACTTTATTTTTCGAACGTGAATTTTTTTCATGTGTTCTATGTGCTTCCCCTTCTTCTTGGCTATCTCCCTGCATCGGACTTTCCAAGCTGCGAACACTTCCTTGACTTTGGAGAGCGAAACATTCGACCACTCCTCTTGTGCGGCTTTCCAAAGAAGGAAACAGTTATAGCGTCATAGTGAAAAAGCTAAAAGCAGAAGGACTAGATGTTGGCAAAGCTACAATATGTAGGGTAGTAAATGGCATTGGAAAGAAAAGGGAAGCTGAATCCAATGGGCAAAAATTTCAAGTCGATCGACCACGTCCGGTGCGGACCCCCGCCACGGTTTCCAAGGTAAAGCGGCTAGCAACTACTGAAAATCCACCATCTCAGCGCCAACTTTCCAGAATGTGTGGAACATCGCTAAAAACGATAAATAACATCATTCACAAAGATTTGGAACTGGATACCCGACGAAAAGGCAAGGTTCACAAGCTCACCCCTTTCCACATGAAAAACCGTGCAACGAATGCCCGGAAGCTCTACGAGGAACACCTGGCCGGTTCCAGATCGGAATATACTGCAACATTGGACGAAGCATGGATGTATGTGACGTATTGCAATGGAATCCGGAAGATCTGTTACATCAAAAGAGGCAATCAGGTCCCGGATAATTGGGTTCACCAATGCTCCGAAACTTTCCCTAAAGGTTTCATGGTTGTCGGGGTAATGACTGGCCGTGGAGTCCTTCCGCTCATAAAGGTTCCATCGAAGGTGAAGGTGAACTCAGAATTCTATATAGAATGCGTTCTGAAACCTGTCATCGAACAACTGAAGGACCTTTACCCAGGGGAAATGGACAAAGTGTTCCTTCATCACGACAAAGCCTCTTCCCATACCTCCAACAAAACCCAACAGTTCCTACAAGAAATGAAGGACACCCTAGGCCTAAATTTTATCAGGAACTCGGACATTCCAGTGAAGTCTCCCGACGCCAGCCCACTGGATTTTTACCGGTTCGGTATGTTGAAACAACGGCTCTTCAACCGACGTCCCAAAACTGAGGCCGGACTTTGGAAAGCCGCACAAGAGGAGTGGTCGAATGTTTCGCTCTCCAAAGTCA